TTGCAAAAAAGCTAATTTAAAAAATTATATTTTGCCAATCATAAAAAAACATAACTGTTTCTGAAAAGTGAAAAACACAAAATGCTTTTCTATTTAACTTCTGTAAAGCCACGACCTCAGTTCCACTCCAGGGAGGCCCTAATTCGGATAATTCCCCCCCTACCTTGAAGTATACGCATTTCAGACTGCACTCCCGCAGATTTTGTGGCCTTCAAAGACCATAGTTTTCGGTCAATTAAAGGCTCTCAGACTATTATGAGAGTCTTTCCAGAAAGAAAATAATATAGCCATTTTAAAGAATTCAAAAATAAAAATATTACATTCTGCCAGTGCAAGATCTATCACAGTCAGTCATAAACCGACATAACTGTCTTAGAATTTTCAGAAGTTTAAAACACATACCATTTTCCTATTTGAATTTTAAAAAGCTTCCTCCTCATTTCTCCTCCAGGAAAAAACTTAATTCAGACTGATTTCCACCTGTCTGAATTCTCTAAGAGACAGATTGCACTCCCAGAGATGGTTTTGGACTGCAACAATCATTGTTTTCTGTCAATCAGAGGCCAACAGAGAATTCTGAGTGTTGCAGTGCAAAACTATCTGGTGGGTGCAGACTGCCTTCCTTAAACTACAAAGCAAAGATAAGATAACCTATCTGAAATATGTTCTCCTTGGAGTCGAAATGAAATGTTGGCTTTTTAAATTACAGTCAGATTACTACACATTGGAGATAGGTTAATCTGTAAAAGACAAATATTTACATTATAAAATTATTATAATAAAAAAAAAAAAATGTAGAGAACAGGGAAAACATGTCCATGAAATTAAAAAGCCAGATGGTTTATTAAGTATTGTCTCACAATCAGTCGTTAAATAATTATTAACATCACTTACAGGGCTCAATTTGTCAGTGTCTCCCAACTATTCAAAGGTACATATGGAGTTACCCAAAGTTCAATTTCTTACTCTCATTAGTTTTCCATATTTATGAAATACACCTGGATTGCAGACACACCTGAACTGAACACTTTGTATCCCAGTGTAACTACAGTATTCATCATTGTGATATGTTGAGAAAACTTAATTGGCTGACTCTGGAATACAGATGCATTCATCTTCTTTCTTCTCTTGTTCACGTCTACTTCCTGGGTGCACAGAGCTTAGGTAATATATCTAAAAGTTCTTTATGAATTTTATTTAATTTCAAGGACATTAGTTGTTCAGTTGTATAAAAAATAAGTATTGCCTTACATTTAAATCTTAAGTGTTATTGCTGGTGAGATGAGAAGTTGTTATATAAATAGCAAAATGTGCTTTTGGAGAATTTTTTTTTTGTGTGGAACAGCAAGAATAACTTCTCTCAATGCAATCTCTGAAACTAGAACTGCTATCTTGATATTACTAATTAAAGTTGAATTCACAGTAATTGCCTTATGATTACTTGGAGCCTGTTAAAGAACTAATGCATCATTGTGTTTCTGGTTTCTCTACAGTTGGTCATTGGTTGGAGCTGGATCAGGGCTGTAAGAAGCCACTCTTCCTTCTACTGAATGCTGTTTAGTTGAGCCATCATTTGTAGTTTATTTGTTTCTTCATGTGTAGCATAATGAATATTGATTTCTGTTGTTTTAGATAGTTTTCCCAATTATTTTGGTTTTGTACTGTGAACTAGATACTGCCTTGTACAACCCCACTCTTTATTATCGTCAAGGCTAGATTAAATAGGTTAAATAAACTCCTAATCTAGTATGTCTTCCTTGACAGTGATTCCTTCTTCCCAAGTTTCTTTGTTCCAGCCATAGTCTTAAGAAGCAACAAAAAAATTGAGATGTCATACATACCAAAACATTTCTCTTCGTGGTTTAAATGAGACCAATTATCATGATGGGTTCAAAAAGTGCCACAGTCGCCTTTGACAAAAATGAAATATTAATTTTATATATTTGCTCTAAGATTGGTCTTGAAAATCACCAACAATGTGTAACATTTTTAGGTCTATGAGATAATTAAGAAAATATGAATAACAAGATGGTACCTCTCATATGACATTTTTATGATAAGGTTGCAGTTATTAAAGAGCTTCTGCATTCTAGTTTTTAATTAATTATTTACAGCATTCATCCAGTTTCAACAGCATCATTAGAAGCCTCACACTAAGAGTACAAATTAAGATAATTCACTCCCACATACATTCAGACTATTACTCAAACAGGGCACCTTCACAATAATCTTGAGACTTATTAACGGGAGGACTGAGCCTTTCCTGGCATCTTGATAATATTTATTTTTCATTACTGAATTATCAATGCAATCATCTTGCTGCAGCCTACACATACACACACAATTCTGTATTTGAACTCTGGCTGCAGCTAACTGCATTACCTGTCTATACAGAAAATATTTGCACATAAATATATCCAATACATTTGTCTTGTGTGTTATCACTTGATCCACAAAGCATCAACATTTATTTTCAACAGTGCTCTTATGTGAGTGTCATGTATCTGTGAGTATGATAGAAAGTGTGGTGATGGTGGTGGGATGCACGGACACAACTGGGCTAAATTATTATGTTACTGGATTACCTGGAAAAGAGCAGAGCACCAGAGTCCTGCTTTATGTTGTGACCTCAAATGCCATTATACCTATGCTAATGAACAATACCTTTTATTAGTTGCCATACTGAGAAGAATACAAGCCCCAATACATACAATAAAAACCAAACAAGTTACTTGCACACTATTCCTAATCCCTATGCACATTTGTAGCAGCACTGTCATGACCGCATCCATTTTTTTTAAACGACCTCTCAACTCTACTACATTTTATTGTCTGTCTAGTCACCCACAAATACTCTGAGGCTACTCTGATTTTACCTTTTTTTTAACTGTTTGTCATGCTCAGACCTAGGCCCTAGGCTGCCCTCTTTGTGTGTACAGATGTCGGACACATCATATGCCCACACTAGATAGCGCTGTGAAATTCCTGTGCATGCCCAGTTAAACACTTGGGCATTCACTAGTTTCAGAAAGACGAATGAATTAATAAATAGAAATTTCAAACAAACATACGAACAATGAATTTCGATCTTTATTCATTTTGTTTATTACAGGGAGGAAGCTACCGGATCACGGCTCCCTCCTTGTAGAATGTAAAAATATTGTGAACTTATTAGTATAAGTGAAAATAAAATCTCCCTACACGCTATGCTGCGAGAAGGGGACATAAACAGTGAGCAGCCAGTGACTCTGAATAAAATTCCTTACAGAACAAAAAGTACTGAATTTCATCCAAACACAAATAGACAAACAGTACTCATTGTGTTAGGGTGAAATTCAGTGAATTCGCCGGTGGCCTGTCTATATGACATAAAATTTGAACGGAAAATTAAGCAACATGAAACATGGAGGGGTTAGTATTGTGGGAAAATTTATTTGACCACAGGAAATGGAGCTGACTTCCTTTGGAAGGTCAAGCGTAGGAAAAATACATACGACAAAGTAGTCCCTACTTTGTCTTATGTTTTAAAGAAAACTAGATTGGAAATAAAGAAAAAAAGGACAGATTCTGATAGAGGAAGAGAAAAAGGAAACAATAGGAGAAAGGTAAGTTTGGCGTGACAGTGAGGCTTTTTTTAGTATCCCTCCAATGGCCATTCAAGTGTAAGCTCACCTGCCACATCAGACAAAACCTCTTAGGTAAGTCCTACACTAACAATTCGCCTTGCTGTTTTCATTTTTTTTTTAAATGTACAAAATCTCTAATGAAACAGAGGGGTATTTCTCTTAACCCCTACACACTTATTAAACCTTAATAGGGAACACATGGGGTGGAGGCAGCACTGTAACATGGCTATGTAATACAAAATCAAATACAAACATACAAAATTAAGCCCTGTGCCCAAAGTCCCACTACTCCTGGGTGGCAGCAATGACTATAGTACACATCAGTTCCAATACATAGGTTAAAATTTTTTAATCCCTATGCACATTTAAATAACTGGAGGTTTTTTAGTATCACTCCAATGGCCATTAAAGTGTAAGCTCACTTACCACGTCAAGCAAAACCTCATAGCTGAATCCTACACTAGCAATTCACATTGCTGTGTTCAGTTAAAAGGCAAAATCTTTGAGACAAAGAGGGGTATTTTTCAAAACCCCTACATACCTTTTAATCTTTAATAGGAAATACATGAGGTGCAGTGTTTTTCTTTGGTTTTTATTATAGTACTTTAGCTAATGTGTACTATAGCCCCATTAGTGGGAGTTTAAGCACAGGGCTTAATCTTCGTATTTGCTTTTCCATGAAAGAAGCAAGGTGAATTCTTAGTGTAGGACTCACCTAGGGGGTTTTGCCTTGACGTGGCAGGTGAGCTAACACTTTAATGACTACTGGAGGGAAACCAAAAAACCTCCAGTTATTTAAAATATGCATAGGGATAGTGCTCACATAACTTTTTTATTTAGTTAAATGTTGCTAATGTAAGGTTTAAGGGAAAACTTTGGGCACCATAACCACTTAATCTCAATTATCTGGTAATGGTGTCTGGAATCCCATGGTGCTGTCTTCTAGTGTTAAACAATTTTCAAACTGTTTGAAACAGAAGAAGTGTTCCCAGGCACTGGTCTGCTGTCTCCCGTTTTGTGCCCAGACTTATGTGGAAGCTGGAGCAGTGATAAGGCTACAATAGTGCACCTATGACTAGCCACCTATCATAAATAGAGATAACAAAATAAATGTATGTATATTTATTAGTGATGGGTGGCCAGTGATAAATTGAGAGCCTCAACTGACTCCCTCAGTCTATAGCTAGCCACCCATTGCCAGTAGAGTTTAGAAAGATGCATGTACATTTATTAACCATGGGTGGTAAGTGAAAGTCTGACATTCCCATCTTATCACTGCTTTTTCTTCAATGCTCAAGCAAATGATCCCACATAAGCACTAGCATAAAAGGAGCAACAGCAGACCAAAGAATGGGGACACTTAAAAAGAAAAACATGCGGCCGAACCGCCATGCTGAACAGTCGCACACCAGAGCAGCTCCTGCAGTACTTACTAAATTTTGCCTAAAAACACCAAAAACCAGCACTAATTTGCCGACTGACAGGTGTGACCCAGTGCAAGAAGACACCCTGGTCCCGAGGAGAGGCTTGCTGCACAGTTTAAGTCCCTTGGAGGGGTTCTTGCCATCACCTAAGATGGAGAGCGCTCGGGCGGTGAGTGGGATGGATGGCCGGTGCCCTGCTATCCTGCCTACCAGCGGTCTACCAGAAGCACAAAGTTAGGTGCCCCCCCCTCTAGACCAGTAGGGGTGATCCCGGTCCCCACCCTGTGGCCCCCTGTGAGTGCGAGACCACCAGCATTTCATGCCACGGCAGTGTCAAACTAGAGCACGGAGGCCGCATACAAGATGGCGCAGACCGCATGCTGAAGCTCCCTCCTCACTTGACTCAGCATCAGCAGACTGCCGGAGCGAATTAAACTGGAATCGGTGATTACCTGCTACGACCACACTAAGAGCCAGAGATCCGGTCCTGGGATGAGCCAAATATGGCAGAGCAGCCAAATACCACACCAACGCAAGAGTAGAGGTCGGCAAACGCAAATCACTGCCCAAGCACGCTCCAACCTACTACCCTCAGCCAGAAACATTGATCCACTGTTCTTGCCTCACCTGCCGTACCTCCCAAACCAACGTGTAACAGGCGAAAAACCTGGGTGGGCTGCCTGCAGTTCCATACTCTGCACGGGGCGGCTAACTTGAGGAGATGCAAGTTAATCGCCTGAGGACTACCACTCTGACACTCACCTGGCATAAAACCACCACGGAGACTATCAGGCTGTCGTCCCTCCTTGATTCCTCATGGAGATGGGCTTCACGACGCGCGGACACTGACTGCCATCTTTTTAGCACGGGGATGGCGGGGGTAGAAAAGCTTCAGAATAAGCTCACTTATCAGATGTTCTCACATAATATTGTTATCAAGCTACCTAGTAACTAAGCTAAGTGTAATGTTGGTTTACTCAGGAATAAGCATTTACTCATTCATTAAGCGTCTGCTACACTGTTATATCACATTACCAGCGGATAAGCCTGATTAACCTCTTACATGCACACTAAGTTTCGCACCACACTACTGTCTACTCTCATATAATATAAAAATGTGCATAGTCTATCCATGCCATAGGAATGTATTTCCATGCTTTGAAAATACTGGCATTTGCTTGTGGCATTGCTGGCATAAATGTATTTTGTTTAACCAATGCACAACAAAATAAAGAATTATAAAAAAATGAAAAACATGCTTTAGAGCTATATTAGTTCTGGACCTTGTTTTAAGTATTCGTTTTTATGTATCTGTTAAAATGGTGGCTTGCTTTATAAAGCTAGCATTGACTAAATTTCTTTACAGGCCCAGCCAACCACTTTATGTGATCGATTGAAGGTTTACTCCTCGTAACCTGACACACAAGTGGTTGACCCACTATGCCATCATATTAAATTTATATTTTTGTAGTCCAGCAAAGGTAGACAGCTTCTTTTTTAGTTCGATGGGACTTAAATTCCCAACAGAGTAATTTTATTCTCCTTTTACCTCGGCACCTAGGAAAGACTACCCAGTGCACTGGTTAAGTGAAATGGGACCTGATACCTTATATGAATGTGCTACTTCTTTGAAGACAATTAGTGCAAATCTTGAGTGGTTGTATAACCTCAAAAGAAAAAAAAGAATAACAAATAGTCCAATATGCCACTTGTATTAGCCGTGCTTGTGAAAAGGTGCATAGAGGACTAACTCACACTTTACTGACCTACTCAGAGCTCTGCTGTATGTCACCTGGAATGGTACAATCCCCATCTTAGGATATGTGGAGCTTTGTTATACTTGATGTCCAATATATATAGGAGAGAAAACGCAGGAAAATGTTTCTTACAGTCCTTTCAGCTATTGTCACAAACTAACCTAATTGCATTCTACGAAGAAGTAAGTAGAAGTATAGATCAGGGTGTTGCAGTGGATGTGATCTTCTTGGATTTTGCATTTAGGGGAAGTATCCCTTGGTCTGTATAATAAAGTGATTGAAATGGCAAACAATTGAGCAGTTAGACTGCAAAACCATGATCTATACACAGATATCACTCCATGAAGCAAAAGTTGCTTTGGTTATTTTAGAGCTCCTTTAAGTAAATGACTGAAGTGAGTATAGTTAGTCAGTCTCTCCTTGTTAAACTATGCATGGTTTAATTTGCTTAAGTTTTAATTTACCTATTTGTGCTGAAAAGTGTTTCTTTAATTGTTGCTCTTTTTTTGTTATATGTGTAATATTATATTTGCGCTTGAAGATTTTTTTTTAATTTTTTTTACTCAAGTAAATGTAACACACTGTGTAAAATAAAATGCTATAATATTACTCACTCTGATCCTAAATAATGCTGCTTTAAGAACTCAATTTCCAACAAAATGATATTATGGTAACTGTTTCTCAAATGATCCCTTACTTTAATAATATCTCTGCATTTGAGATCATTAGGATCAGAAGCAGTTGATATTTCAATCAGCCATGAGTTGAGGTATGCAGTTTTCTGACATAAAACATCTTCAGCGACAAATTCCTAATTCATTATGAAACTTTATTACTCTAATTTGACAAAAATCCCATCTTGGCTGCTAATCTTACAAAAATCCCATCTTGGCTGATGAGTTTCATCCTTAAAAACAAGCAAATTATGATAATAGAATGAAAACTCACATTCTGAGCATGTGTGCTTTAAATACTACTATTAAGTCAATCATTTCCTATGACAGATTGCAAATACATATTGCAAAAATAATTTTACTGGCACATTTAATTATCACTTCTGCTTCAAATATGTGCAAAACCAAGAGAAAATAGCCTTTTTACATTTATGGCATAAACAATATATAGAAAAGATGTCACATGTCCTCTGGATAGTCAAATGAGGACACTGAAATTCCCTTTAACCATGTGAGAGCCAAAGATCAGTTCAAACCATTGGTCGTGAGATAACTAAGTGGTTAAGAGGTATACATTCCATGGGGTACATGTTTGTTTCCAGACAGGATACACTTCGGAAGTCAATTATATGTTCTCTATTAGGCATTAGATAAACCAGAACCAGATTGTCCATTAGGTTTTCTTTTGTTTTTAAGATATTTTCTAAGAAATTTGTACTTTAAACTAATAACACGTGAATGGTAGGATTACAGACAAATCTTGATATATAGGATCTAATGAAAGCCTATACACATTTGAGAGGACATCTTTGAGCTATGATTAGTAAGACAACAAGCTTATGAGATATATCAGTTTTACTAATTGACCTTGCCATTTTAGCATGTAAATTTTATGGAAATCCTGCTTCTGTATGTATTCTGTTATATTATCACTAAAAGAAAACAAGATGAAGTAAATTATAGCAAATCCAAAGGGCTTTATTATGTTTAAAATTCAGATGATCAAGGCCCAGGATCTTATTACTGGTCTTTCTTGATTGATTCCAAAGCTCAATCTTGACAGGAAGAAAGGCACATGGCAACAAAACAGGAGCTGTGGGCTTACCACAAGACTAATTAAGGAGAGAGGAAATAAACACTAAATATCAGTTATAGCATACAGAGTACATACTATCAGACAACCAGACATCAAAAACTGCATCTCTAGACGAAGGTATATAAAGAACATTAATGGACCGTGGAAGGTTTGGGTTTAGCATAAGAAAAATGGTACTGAATGGTGTAAGCTAAATAATAAAACAGAGTCAAGCTGAGGCCAGTATCTTAGAAAACAGGTAAGTCAAACAAGCCAAGGACAGCACATGTAGCAGTCAACGTTGGTTAGTAAATTATGTCTGGTCAAGAAAAGGGATAACATAGTTATTATTATTATTATGTTATTATTTATATAGCTCCAACAAATTCCGTAGCGCTTTACAGTGGGTGGACGAATAGACATGTAGTTATAACCAGACAAGTTGGACACACAGGAACATAGGGGTTGAGGGCCCTGCTCAATGAGCTTACATGTTAGAGGGAGTGGGGTAAAGTGACACAAAAGGTAAGGATAGTATTAGACTAATGACAGTTGCAAGAGAGGAATCAGTTGGGAGCTATTAACAGTTTAATTGATACGCTTTTATGAAGAAGTGGGTTTTTAATGATTTTTTGAAGGAGTGGAGGCTGGGTGAGCATCTAACGGAGGAGGGAAGTGAGTTACACAGGAACAGTGCAGCCCTGGAGAAGTCTTGAAGGCGAGCATCAAAGGTGGGAGTACAGACAGAAGATAGATGTAAGTCTTCAGCAGAGCGTAAGGGCCTAGACAGGACATATTTCTGTATTAGGGAGGATAGATAGGTGGGAACAGCATTATGAAGAGATTTGAAAACAAGAACCAGAATTTTAAATTGAGCCCTATATCTTACAAGAAGCCAATGTAGGGACTGACAGAAAGGTGAGGCGTGGGAGGTGCAGGGGCGGACAGGAAGATGAGCTTCAACGCCGCATTCACTATGGACAGCGCAAGTTGGGAGCACATAAGACCGCTGAGAAGCGGATAATTAAATAGTAATTAAGATAAAACAAAATAACAAAGTGGGGGGTGCAATAAATAGAATAAAAAGTACAAAATATGAATACTTATTCGTAATCGTAGTAGGAACTTAATCTGTAAAACACAAAAGTCCATACATAGTGTAAAACTGTAAACAGTAGAAGTAGTAGAAACAAAGGTATTGGGTCACTCACAATAAATAGAGCCTAAAATCGCAGGCTCTAGCTTGATTGCATGTGGAAAATCAGCTTTTCCAAGCTATTCAAGATGTCCCCACAATCTTCCTATAGGCACTGGTGCTGGATTCCAGGTGTAGGAAAGATGGATAATGGACCAAAATAATTCTTCAGCTTTAAAAAAGTATTTACTTCAATAAAATAACAAGATAAATAAAAATGTAAAAATATAACATATAAAACACAACGCGTTTCGACAATAAGTCTTTCTCAAGTGTACAGTCCTCTTCTTCCGGCATCCTTTTAAATCTGTGCTTCCGGAAATTAAATTTCCCGCCGAGTTCCACTTCCGGTATGACGTCATGACGCACGTTCCGTCGCTGCGTCATGACGTATCGGCCGTCATTGCGTCGTTTCGTCATTCCTATGCGTCCATTTGGCAACCCGGAAGTGACTAAGGGGCTCCATTT